ACAGAATACACTCGTAAGGCTGCTGTGGGACGTGTTCAGTTTTGCGTTTGACTAACAAAAGACTTTGACTCAAGCAAACTCTGAGCCTGAACTAATAGAAAAAAGCTCAAAGATAAGTTCTCCTATATCAAAATTAGAAAGGTATCTGCTTAATTGACTACCATAAAAGCAATACTTTGTAGGATGAGACTTGCCCGAATTGTTCGAGAGCAAGAACGTTCCATCACTTAAATATTGTTTTTGCTTTTATTCACGCATTTCACACAATATAAGCGAGTCTATGCATATTATGAGAGCACAATGAACAATGTTCTTAATTTAACAATACTTTGAAGGGCAATATCTCAGCACATGCATGTGGAAACTATGGACGGGAAAGGTGACTTAACTGCCACAGCACTTTGTAGAGGGCAATTTCTATAAATTATCTGATTCTGTGAAATCTTTTCAACCCCCCCCCCCCAAAATCTCACATTTGAGACACTGGCCCGTAGTAAAGCTCGATCAGTTGAGGTGAACTCAACTTAACCCATCAGTTCACCGCACGTGAGGTGAACTGATGACCACCCACCCCACCATGCTATAAGATGGTCAAGTCAACTGATAGTTGACGATCTGTCCACCTGCTGCAGTCAACTCTTCCACATCAGTTCACGTTCAAGTCACCTCAACGTGAACGGACGTTAGAGTGATCCAAATAGTGTGTAGAAGAGGAGACGCAGACAAGAGGTGACTGCATCTAACATAAGTTGCTCCTGAGTAACTTACGATACACACAGCTTTGCCAAAAAATGCAGAAAAAATCGGCGCAAAACTGCACAACCGCGCCCGAAAAGGAGAGGATCGATGAACAGCTGATTTTGGCGAGGAAAAGAGAAAAAAAACCTCTTTTTCTTTTTTGTAGATTTTACTGACTTTTTTCTTTGACAAACTGCTCAAGGCAAGAATTTGTAGATTTATTTCGTTGGATTTAGGTTGCAGTTATTTCAATTTTCCATAAAATTTTCGTCAAAAAATGCGTTTTTGTGTCATCCATGTTTTTTCTAGGCGAAATCCTTGATAGCGGTCATAATCGATTTTCCGATAGTGGTCGCTATCAAAGACGCCCTGCAATACAGCAAAAACGTGGCGCTAGCCGATGTCGAACCATGGCCGCGCGCGTTCAATTTCAGTCCCTTACCTGCTCGACCAAAGCAGCTCGAGTGGTTCCCTTTTCAAGAAGGCACTTGATTGTGATGCCTCGGAAGCGATCCGCATCCAGATCAATGGCTCGCCGGATGCTAGACTGAGGCGTGATGAGATCAACGCCGGTCCGCGTCGAGAAAGATGCCCTGATGGGGGGTTTACTACGGGCCACTGATTGATGGACGATTGCAGCGTGCTAACGCGCTTCCTCGTTAAAACCCATCGCGAAGGTGGTGTCGCCGCGCAAAGGCATGAAAGGTCCTGTGGATACGTTAGGCCCACTGCGTTTCGAACCTGATCTGAAAGCGGTAGAGAGGTTCTTGAAAGAATGATTGCGTTTTTCTTAAAGGAGTCCATTAACCAGCCTTATCAGCTCTCGCTGATAAGGCTGACGCGCGAGGCGGATGAAGACGCTGGCTCGCGAAGTGAAGTAGTCTTGTCAGCAGCAGTGAGTGGGTTGGGCCAGATTGTTCGGCTCTACTCGACATACCGTCGTGCGCTCCGTAACTTTATGCAAGTGTGCGTAAGTCGCGTACGCGGCGTACGCTGCAGTTTGGCTCTACCCTGAATTGTCCTTGTAGGTTGTTGATCAAAGCATTCAACTACGTTCACAGCAACATGAAAAAATTCTCGATCGAAGGGGAAGGCCTTGCCACTCGCCCACGCTGGTGGTCAACGCGCGGCACGAGCAATTGTATTACTAGCTTGTGACTTGTCTCACAGTACATTCTATACTGCTAAAGTGGCAGTGAGCACTTGATCGAGCAACTTGTTTCAGTACATTCTACACAGTCAAAGTGGCAGTTAAATTGTAACGCGTACAGTTACAAGAGCTTGCAACTTTAGCTGACCGAATCTGTAAACAACGCGTTATCTACAGTTAAAAGCTTTCTTCCTCATTACAAATTCCTTGTTTAAAAAGCTGCTGAAACACGGTGGAGCGGAAGAATATGTGACGATCAAACGCTTATAAGCATTTTGCTCTTCACACGTCTAACATCTTTGTAACTCGTCAAGGCAGCAAGACTCTTTCACCCGTACGTGTTTTATGCAAAGGTCCCTAACCCTCTTTTTTACCTAACGTGTTCGTTAATCAAAGGTATTAGGTTGTCCGGAAATTAGTGCAGGTTTTGAATTCCAACCGCAATAAGTCATACACTTCTCATTTCTAAATAGGTTGCAAAGTACCCTTCGATAGAGTAAAGCAAGCTCTACAAGATGGCTATCTTGCTTTAGCAACAGCTCTGATCCACCACGAGTTTCGAGCCAAAAACTAAAAAGATTCAACTACCCGAAAAATTCGGAAAAATCGTAACTCTGTTCGTAAAAATCCTACAAAAATTCTAACTTGCTCACGTAAACACAATCCACATGAGGCATCTATATATGGGATTGCTGTATTTTTTTCTGTGTTAGAAATCAAGAAAACGGAGATTTTCGTGCATTTGCCAAAGTGGAGATGTGCCGTTCCCACATAAGTAGCTGTATACTATAAACCTTTAGAAGTTTAAACGTAAATTTCCAGCTCTCTACAAGCTTTAGTTCTCGAGAAATATCGAATACAGATTTCCCTAGTCATGTGGTCCAAGCTAATCAAATTTCTCGAGAACCAAAGCTTGTAGAGAGCTGGAAATTTACGTTTAAACTTCTAAAGGTTTGTAGTATACAACTACCTGTGTGGGAACGGCACAGCACCACTTTGGCAAATGCACGAAAATTTCCGTTTTCTTGATTTCTAACACAGAAAAAAAATGCGGCGACCCCGTATATAGATGCCACGTAAATTGTGTTTACGTGAGCAAGTTAGAATTTTTTTAGGATTTTTATGAACAGAGTTACGATTTTTCTTAATTTTTCGGGTAGTTGAATCTTTTTAGTTGCTGGCTCGAAACTCGTGGTGGATCAGAGCTGTTGCTAAAGCAATATGGCCATCTGTAGAGCTTGCTTTGCTCTATCGAATGGTATCTTGCAACCTATTTAGAAATGACAAGTGTACGACTTATTGCGGTTGGAATTCAAAACCTGCATTAATTTCCGGACAACCTAATACATAAACCAACCTCAGGACTTATACGGGGATTTAAGTGCATCACACTTCTTTCAGCGGGTAGTCGTGAATGACAAAATGACTTGAGATTACTGATCAGCATTTCAGAATAAAGCGCTATCTTGATATCTAATGCCTCATGCCTGACCAGCTAGAATGGGGAAGACATGCATCAAAGTTACAGTCAGGAACTGCTATGCACAAGCGCTTTACTGCGGTCTGCTGCTGTCAGGGCCCTGGAGCAAGTAGTTCAAATCCGGTTCACTAATGACAGTTGACACTTCTCTTCTTGGAAGAAAAATCAATGCTTTATCAGTTTTGGATGCGTGCACATAAAGTAAAAGCCGACACCGTCTAGCAGATCTAGCGTAATCATTGCCACTGCAGTTACGCGATATTAAATGCCATGCTTGCAAAGTGTAACAGACTTTGCAACTTGTGCACAAAAATGCCTAAAAAGCACACAGTTTGGGAGATACAAGGTAAAGGCGGAGCCAGGGCCGATGTTCTTGTTTTGATTTTGGGCGCTTGAAGTTGACACATGCTTGCTGATAATTATCTTGCTTTAAGAAAAGTGTCAGCATAGTATGTTACGTTGAGATGCCTAACCCATCGGGTTTCGTTGATAAATTAAAGCATCAAGTTTGCAAGTGCTCATTTCCAATGCATTTCCTTTTCTTTTTTTTCAACGCTCTGTTACGAAAAACCCCTTCTGATGGCGCTTTGAATTTTTTCTACATCTTACTCGACTCTGGTTCAAGAACTAATCCTAAAGCGATGACGACCTTTTTCTCGCATTATGCATGCTGGTTACGCATAGATCAATGATATGGACAAAAATAAGTTTTTTGCGGTGCCGAGAATGGACCAAATTTAGAACGTTAACAAACTACGCCTGCCCTATAATGCTGGCGCTTTCCTACCCAAAATCTGCTAGCTCCAACAGCCGATACACTATTCTTTCTGAGAGTCAGGGCTGATATCATTAGATGCATTTAAAGGCAGCGTCCAGGCAGATCTGAACCTATGGGGCTTTTACGTGGAAAACAATTTTGGGCCCCTAACTAAGGCACTGCCCAAGCGGCAGCTTAGGTAATGCTGTGATGGCTGAGATATTCCCTTCGAAACTGGACCCCGCGACCGTGTTTCGCATGGATTCATGGCGCAAAGCGTGGATCCTGGCGCGAAACTGCCATGAATCCATGCGAATACGTTCGCGGGGGCCAGTTTCGAGGGGAATATCTCAGCCATTAGAGCACTACCTGAGCTGCAGCTTGGGCAGTGCCTTAGTTAGGGCCCCAAAAGTACTTTCCACGTAAAAGCCCCACAGGTTCGGATCTGCCTGGACGCTGCCTTTAACATTGTTTGTCTTGTGCTTGACAATTTTAAACCTTACCTAAATCTCTGCTTAGTTGCATATTTCAGAGGAATATTCTCTGAAGTGCATTTTACTTTACTGTGTGGGCTCTTCGCGAATGTTCCATATGCTGTTGGACCTAGATAAGACTCCAGGGGATGAAATCAGGAGCGCTTTATGATACAGTAATTAGTGCAAAAGAATTTTTTCTGCTAGGTAACTACTTGAACTTGCACAGAAGACAAAAAAGCTGAGTTTGTTTCAAACCCAAGTACCTTGTCAGTGCATCGCTTTGGTCAAGATTTGAGGAAGATGAGACGTAATTCAGTGGGTCATTTATTATAACTATTCAAAACAGTATCATCTACATCGTTTGCATCATCATCGATTTACACAACAAAATGATGTGTCTCAGGATTGATACCACATGTATGCAGCAAAAATGGTAGCTAAAATGGTTAACATTTTTCAAGTTACTTCAGTTGCATTCATCATCAAAAGCTTACCTTGAATCGTGGTTAATTTTGAACTTGATGTGCCTTCCCACGGATTCATTTCGCACCACTGAATTATTCATGATTTTGTCGCCACATACATTACATGAAGCAATTCCGTCAGTGCTATACTACCAGATACTGTCTTACAAAATAGGGTTGTTTCATACTGCCGCACTGACTGCAGCAGACTGCAGGAGACTGCAGCGGACTGCAGCTGAGAGCACTTATCGAGTGGCCGCACCGGTCGCTACATTCTTTCGTAAAAGAGAAGGCAACTGTGGTTACGTCAAAACGCCGTGACTTACGCATAGAAGATCATAAGTTCTAATTCACAATTCACTCTTCTCAATCGAACTTTGGCAATTGTTTTTCTTTACTATGTTCGTATTTGTTCTTATTCCTCCTATTATTGCATATGACTGCTTTGTAATGCTCTCGCTGGAAACCATTATCCATCGGAATCCGGCGCTAATCTTAGCTATAGTACATAGCCAACGCGACCGAAAAAGGCAATCAGAATGCCTCGTATCTTTCCTTTGGCTATTAATTTTAAGTTGTTTAACACCTTGTGACTAATAGTGTTGAGTACTTTAGTTGTGACTCATTGCTAAAATTTATTCATTTTCGGTACTTCCACTAAATATCTAGGTCTGCATGTTTGTTTAAAGATACTTATGTTTCTCTTGAATTGATATGGAAAGTTTCAAGATCAGATTTACTAACTGATTGCCAAAGATGTAAAGTGAAAAGGGCTTTCTTTCAATGTAAATAACGGAGAATTTTCTACTTTGCTTGCCCACTTTGCTCGCAGTAGCTCTTCCTACGCGAACATGCCTGCGGCCGTTGCGATCGGTGCGGTCTGCTGCAGTCTGCTGCAGTCTGCTGCGGTCAGTGCGGTCAGCTGCAGTCAGCTGCAGTCTGCTGCAGTCTGCTGCAGTCAGTGCGGCAGTCTGAAGCAATCCTTAGCGAAGCTCAGCGCTAACGGTACTTTAGTGAAATATGGTGCATTTCTTATTTCAAAGTTTCTGCTGGCTGCACTACATCATTGTAGCGTCCTGTAAACCTGTGGTAAACGCCCCATAACTAATGGTCTTGCCTCAATTAAGTCCTGGTCTGGTTTCGATTTTGCAGCAAAATATCTGAACACTTCCAGTTTGCAATAGTCCTTTCCCTCACATTCATTTATCAAATGCGTCACGGGATAAATTGTGTTATTTACATCGCTAGTGCGGTATAAAATCTGAAAATGTCTTCCCTTGCGGAATAGAGCATTATGTATAAGCACCCTGAAGTAAGGTTCGCCATCTGCGTCTATATATAATTCAACAAATGCAGCTGCAGTGTAATCTGGATATCCTCCGCTAACAACGACTTTTGACTGAATTCCCATGATGGAGAGAAATGCAAAAATGGTAGTATCATGCTGGAAATGGTATGAATCAAACATCTTCTGATATATTACATATATCGACTTACACCCGAATAGGCGTGGTACTTGAGACCATTAATCCAACGGCATGCAGGTCGTGCTCGATTTAGGCAATCGATTTTCATGTTCATATGTGTATTTATTTCATTAAATAGTGAGCCACCACGTATTTTTTGCAATTCAAGACCAATGTCAACATTTCTTATTATTATGGGAGGGTTTTCTGAAAGCATTTTTGCATGATGAAATTTTACAATAGCAAGTTCCAATCTCTATCAGTCAGAGTTTTGTTTGGTCATTTTTAGGCATGTACTCTACCACAGCGCCATTGAACAGCAGTCAATAAATATGAAGTGGTTTTGATTTTGTTCATTCCACTAAGCTTGACTATCACACAAACCTAACATACCTTAGAAATTGTGAAGACAAACTAGAATTTCAGATAAATTCGATCACGACGATTGTTTCAAATGTTTGATATCATTTACAAACTTGGTTCTACCTCTTTCATTCGACACGAGATTTTTTTGTTCGTTTATTGATATCAAGGGGCCGAACGCTCTATTCGCAAAAAGGAAAGAAATCAAGCGGCATTGCTTGTGATATGTATCAATATAGCTCATCTTCAAAGCATCTATCTAAAACCTGAGAGCGAAGTCAAACCGGTTTCAATTATCTTCACTTTATTATAGCTGTTCATCTGCAAAAGTTACGATATTTTATTCTGAAAGCCGGTAAACCTTCGAAAAACTACCTGTACCTTCTTTCCTCAGGTACTCTAAAAAATGGACCAAATTAAATACATGTTTTCTGGGAGCAGAAGACGAAATACTTCCAGTCTTTCTTATCGGTCGCTACTATTCATAGTTGAAAGTTAGGATTTTAGATTTTATCTTTCAATTCTTGACCTATGGAATTTATGCTCACCCTGTACTTAGCAACCGCGTTACCGGATATAAGCGTAAATCTGACGAAGGCTGCTGAATTGTAACATTGCCGCTCTCAGAACGTGCAAAGTTTTCGTGAATGTCGCGGGATTCCGGGAATCCTAAGACATTCCCGGAATTCGGCGACATTTTGGGAATTTTGCGAAATTTTCGGAATGTTGCCATAACGTCATTAGGAAGACATGAATTCTTGTTCTGAAAGAAGGGATTTACTCAGCCCACTGAAGCGGGTCTTTTGGTACCTCGCCCTTACCGCATTTTTCGGGAAATGGTGGGTGTACGGCAGTGAATCCTTTTGCGATTTCATTTTTCACTTCATTTTCATTAAATACGCTCGAGGCGTACCATTAAAAAAACAAACAATGTAATTGTTAGTTTTACACAAAACACGAATGACAACAGAATATCATATGCTTCAAGCCCAAACTCCATACATACTAAAGAATAACTACTTAGCTTGCAAGGAGACTGCTGGATATTACGAATGTCAATAATGAGTTATATCCACAGAGATGGAACCCATGCTCCCGCGTTAGCCAGCAAACTATCTTAAAGTATTCAAACAAGCAAACGACGGCGGGTAAGCACCCATCGGCCTGCCGGGGAGAGCCCAAAACTCCATGAGCATTGCTACATGTGCAAAACAGAATACTGTCAAGTACTGCACAACGAATATGGATCTAAACGAATTGTAATCTAAGGAGATGGTACCCATGCCCCCTCTTTTGCCAGCCACGATCTCAAAAGATTTCCAAGAAACAAACCGGAGCTTATGGCCCAACCAGTCTGCCGAGGAGAGCCCATCTACGAAGTAAGGAAGCCTTTTGGATTCACGCAAAAAGTCCACAAATGAATCACAAGGAGGATTGCCTCTCAATCACTCGTGAACTCGCACCTTGCCTGGGTCACCCCTTTTGACTCACTATAGCCATAAAAATAGCGTGGCATACATGGTCATTTATTAGCGCTCGCTCAGGTACCTGTATGTTATCGGCATATTCAAGAAGGTAAGTGTTTGGTTTGGCAGTCCAGTCAGTGAACAGGCAAAGAAGATGAACTTTGAACTTAGAACTTTGCTTGTGGAGCTGCAGAGACGTTTGATCGGATAGGTTGCAGATCGTTTTGTCCTTTCCTGGCTCTGAAGATGGCGATCTGCCGAAACGCAGCCAAATATTTATTACCAATCTCGAGCGCGGCTTACATAAATAACTACAATACAGATGTAACCCACAGCCTGAGAAATAAGGTCTCTTTGTTCTCTAATGGCTGAAGGTACACTCTTTTTTTCCGCTCGCGATTTCGCGGTCGAAACGTATAAGCAAAGCTGCTCGCAAGCGCGGCTGCCTGCGTGAAAGGAACTGCTCCTTTCGCGCTCCCGCGAATCTTCAATCCAATGGCTTGGTCCGTTAGGTAATCGACATTGAATGCATCAGTAATCTGAAGGATTAGAGCAGTTGCGGCGCTCCATTTTTGTTGCACAAATGGCTATCAAATGTGACATGTCAAGCGTAAGAACGGCTTCGCTATAGGAAGAGAGCAGGGGTGGTAACTTCGAAACCCTTTAGCCTCCAATTGCAACCCAAATAGCTTATTTTTTCCTCTCTCTACTTTTTTCATCGCTAGTTATCTATCAGCATTGAAAAATTCCTATATAGATGTTGTTCAAAGATTTTTCGCTGTGTATGAATCAAAATTACACTGTAACCTCTCTTATCAAGCTTTGAAATGACTCCCGATTTCAACATAGCATGTTGCACCTCTTCAACTGCGTAAATCCGTGTCGTATTATCGCAGTTCGATTATTAAGCCAGAAGCATATTTTATTTGAAATGAAGCGTTATAAAGTATAGCTCTGCTTACCATAGATTCCGTTGTCAAAAAGTTGAATTTTGTCACAAATGACGGCTACCTTATCGTACAGCTCTTTAGTGTACCAATCACCTTCATCGGGTTGCTTCATGCCATGCGCATGCTGGAATGTCATCTATTTCACTGAGTGTCACGACTTACATAGAAAGTTTTGCTTATTTTGTTGATTTGAAATCAACCTCAATTTTCCATGCATCACGCACTTGCCACAAGCTGTTCACGTCGTAGTTCCAGCCAGCATTCAAAGACACGTTTTTGAACACTTCTTTTACCTCAAAATTTCTAAACTAAGCGCAAATTACTTTTCAACATTGCTTCTTCTCAATAGGCAAAAACTTTTCCTCAGATAGAAGACTCTGCGTGATCGCGAGAGTCGATGAGTTTGCGGTCATTGCACACGCAGGATGCCACAGGGCCTCAAACCCCTCGAACAACCCGTAATTCTCATAGTCGCTTTAGGAAATTCGAAGGCAACATCTGTTAGCAGAAAGGGTTTGAAATGAAAATGAAAACTACCGAAGCTCAGTCTTGTGCGAGCAGTGGCCGCAACCTCACCCGAACCACCTGAAACGCCGAAACTGCCAAAGCAGAATCCCGAAAAATGTTTTTGTAGAGTTTGATTAGAGCAACCTGACGCGAATTTATGTTTTCATGTTTTTTTCATGAGTTCATGTTTCTCAATGATTTTTTCACAGCAGTTGTGCGAAAATCAACTCCATTAATTTAGGCGCCACTAGAGCGGATGTTGGTATTATTTAGCGGTTGCGGTTTTGGAGGGCGAGGGAGGGAAGGAAGAATCGGCCCCAAAAATGGATCGCGATGTCCTTGAAGTCGCTTACATGGGTTACATAAATGTGCAAGTCACTCCCCCCTCCCCTCTCCCCCCCCCCCCAACGGAACTGGGGCTGTTGTTCAACATTGCTTATGCGCAGTTTTGAAAAAGAAGGAAATTTTAGGACGGTGAGACTCACACTAGGATTTGAGCTTACATGAATTTTATGTAATAAATTTCGTTAGGCCCTCAAACTCTCTTTGCAATCTCTAGATACGTATAACTACGGATGAGATATTTACTTCTGTTCTGTCTAAGAATCCTTTGACCTCCTCAGATTCGTTTCGTAGCACTTCAAGCAGCCAGCTCATACGCTTGCACGGAGCATGTGAAACAAGCATCTAAAAGCTGTAAAATACTTAGCAGGAAATGGTCAGCACTTAACCCAGCATATATAGGCTGTACCAGCGAATATCGGTTCTGCGATGTCGCGTCTGCGGCAACTTGCGACAATGCAGTGTGACGTGTGCGAACTCTGCTATGCGTTAAGGCAGGTCGCATGAACGGTGCGCCGTCGCGAATTATACTGGCGCGGGACCGATGATGGCTGATACAGCTTATACCAAACATGCTGTACATCATCGGACTCGCTGAAACGCTGATCACAAATACATGATCACATGATCACATATATTTATTGACTACCAAGCGACTATCTGGGAGGAGAAATCAGTGTTTAAATGTGCAATTTGTCAAGTGTTCTATGACGCATGTTCCATGAAATAGGTTGTTTCAAAACATTTTGGTGAATGTGATTCCTCCTTGTAATTAAGGTAACCATAGCCACCGTAAATCAGCGCCATCATACTGCCTTTTGAGAAAATTTCGTTAAAACTCTAAAAATTTCTCTTATTCGAACGCACATAACTCCTCCCAGGTAGTCGCTTGGCAGATAAAAGGCATATATTTGAAGTCAGCGTTTTAAGGCGAGTCCGATGATATGCAGCTTGTTTGGAATGGCTGAGTTGAGTTCTGACCAGTTTCTCGTTAGCTCACGGAGGTATGAAACGCAATTTAGAAAACTCACATGGTCAGTGCTTTTCTCGATGGTATGCACTGCAATTGGAATAAACCCTTGAGGCCAACCATCCACATCGGGATAGTCTGTTCCGTTGACACTTGCATTATTATTATAGCTATACATGCCAAGCAGATTCGTCATAGCAGATATAATTGTTCTATTAGCGTCTGAGGAGCGAACATAAATCTGCAATTCAAGGTTTAGAAGTTACACTTGGGTCACCTCGTCTGCATTGCTTGAAATTGCCATAGAAATTATTATTACTTCCTTTTTAATCTATGTCAAGATATGTATTGTAGGTAAGGCTTAGCTGAGTAGTCATTTTATGGACTTTTTCAACAACTGTTTGCTGTCTCAATTTCACTTTTCGGGCTCCTTGAATGGTAACCCTTCATTTGAAGCGGGTAAGCATTCATGTGATGGCTTGGATTCTGATGATAGTTTTGTGGACACCGAGAATCACACGCGTTATGAAGAAGTCATAATGTACGCATTCTTAAAGATAGCATAATTAGAATTGCTTTACTCAAAGAGACAACCTCTCGAGCAGAAGCAAAGCGAGGAACCTCCTTTTACATGATGTCGAGTAAATCAAGGCTTACAAAAATATTAAGTGATCGGCAGTATTGAGCGCTCACCTCTTTAGAATTGTATGTTTTGCTAAGAAAATTCGTGTCAACGTAGTATTGCCGCATTTGTTTTCCGAAATCGAAATGTTGTTTCATTCCTAACTAAAAAAATAAAAGATTGAGAAAATTTACTCAAAGCGACATAAGAATTATCATTCACAGGGGAAAGTTGCCCCCATCCTCCTCCACCAAATGTCCAGTTATCCTCTTTGATTGGATCAGTAGGATATGTTATTGTGGGTGATCTGTCCCCGTGTCGCCAGATCTTAACACATCGCCAAACGGGCAGTGCATATCAAGATGAATCACCGTAGTCTTACCACATGTACTAGTTTGAGCGTCATTGTATCGTCAGCATGCGAAACTATAGTCACAATGAGCAAAAATAATACGTGGAAAAACATGTTTCACAAACCTTCAAATACATAAAAATTGAGTATTTTTATAAGCAGCGTAAAGATCAGTAGGGGCACAGAAACATCAAATCAGTTCAGATTGATCTTCTGTCAATGATATGAGTCCCGACTGATTGTGTTGGGTTGTTCCAAAAAGAATGGGCGTTTGAGGAGTTCTGATGCAATCCAAGCAAATCTGCTATGACTTTGGGTCATTGGTCGAAATGATAAAGAGCGGCTTTTCCGCATAAGTTTTCAATCCTATTTTTAGAGTTTAATCATGTCCCCTTTTTTTTCTATACCAAAGTTCGGCTCCTGAAAAGCGATGATTAGATGAGTAATTACTTAGCAAAAGGAGGTTGTGGCTGCACATTTAACAATCATGGTAAGGCGTTCGAAATTTGCGTCTGACCGCCAAAGTGGGGTGGTTTGATTTGACGCAGCAGTGAAGCACTGTCGAAAGAAGTGCAAAGCACATGTTGAGCTGAAGTTAGTGTACAAAGATATTTAGTGTTAACGAAGTCTCATGATGAATTACAACAGCTTGCCTCCACAGTAAAACATTCAAACAATGGACTTGGAAAGTGACTGCTGTGAAGCTGAAATACATCAAGGGAGGAAACAAGGAGGGCAGAAAACGGATCAGTGCCCCACCATGAACGAGTAAGTGAGTAATCTTCCACACGCAGCTCGAGACGCTGGCTACTGTACCTGCTGTACCTGTGGCAGTGTAGAAGAATTTGCACTTGTCTGGGTTACCGTGATGATTCTGCTTACTTATCTTCGCTCATTGTCATAAAACAGATTCCCAAAAAAAGTCCTTGCTCAACTGGTTATAATTCTCTTACTTCAATGTTTTTCTTCGCTTCCGAAGTATGATTCTATAGAGCTGGTTTGACTTACAATTAGATTTGCATTACGGAACGGATTAAGCGAGCTATTCATTACTATGGGGTCAACTGAGGAACTACAGTGCTGGACTTAATCATAGAGACACTCTAGAAGTCGTCGTAATTTTCGTTCTTGCCAGTGAATCCGCCTGAAACTTTGCTGTATAGTGCGCATGTAAGCCTATCATAACTCCTCAAAGCGGCTTCCAATCCCGTTGATTTCGAACGAGGAAAAATGGAAAAATTTGAAAAAGCCTGTTTTGCAAGCTGGACATAATTATAAGGACACCTGGCCTTTCTAAACATTAACGCATTCCTTGACTCCCAAATTTTTTTGTAGAGTTACATTAGAATATGAAGCTTTTGCAGCACCTAGGACCTGTCATGCTACTCAAGAAAAGATGATCCTTGCATTTTTCGTTTCCAAAGGCATCAAAAGTCAAACTGCGTCAACAAACAGCTGGTTTGAGGAGTTCTCAAGTCCGCGTTCATTTCAAATGACAGTCCTAGAATACACTTAGCCTTTTTGATAGATAAGGTAAAGAGCGCTTTCGTAAACTCCGCGTAATCACTGATATTGACAATCAGACCCCAACCTCCGTTTTGTCTGCTCTTATAGAAAACTAGTTGGCTTTCCCGGTCCAGCCCGGGCCATGGTTCACCGCACTGCGAGCCCCCCCCCCCACCCCCGCCCTATATGGTATGGATGACTGACTATGATCCGTTCTCCGTTTGGAACCAACGGGATTGGAAGCCGCTCTAGCTATGGGAGGCTTACGTGCGCACCATAGCAGATCACAATTTTTCATTATTCACTAAATTGGGAAAACTCCTTTGTCCTTTGTACCTAAGTATCAAACTGCTGTTCTTTACATCCATTACAGCATGGAAGCGAAGCTTAAGAAGTCAAAGAATTTGGCTTCTGGAAATTTTGCCATGTTGAGGCATAACTTTCTTCACTGATTATAGAACTCCTGGATACTTGAAATGTGATAGAACGAAGCTTTGAACTACTTCCCCACAAAAAATCATGAATGAGAATAAGCAAAAAAATTTTTATGATGAAACTAGCTTGCTTACCCGGCTCCGCCCGGCCCTGTGAAAACACTGTAATAAAGGTCTCATCACTATCCCTGTACAGCCTTTCCCTGTGCTCACTTCTACACTTCATTTCCCGTTCCCTGTGTTGTTTTCGAAATCATCATGCCCACTTACCCCTCCTGTGCCAACTCCCAGCCCTGCAGCTCAAACTTTGCAAAAAATCGATAAAATCGATGAAAGTAATCGATAATTCTGAAAACAAATATTGTATTCGAAATCCCCGAAATTTTTCATATTAAATATTTATTTATTTATTTAATATTTAATACATTAGCGACTTTTTGGACACTCGATGAATGATGAGGAGAAGAATTATAGCCCGTCTACCAAAACATGCTTCTGGTGTCTTACTATTAGATATCGAAGTTTTATTTTGACCCATCATCAACTCAAAATCATCGGTTACAAAGAATTCCCGGACTACTTGTGCTCTGAGATGTTTGAATTTTTCCTATCAATTTCATCTGCGACATGCGTACTTCACAACATTCTAATCAAAGCAGTCACTTGCTCCATTATTCTGCTAGAAAACGAGGGTACATCATGTACTTTGCGTTAAAGAAGTGCACAGTTTCTCTACTCGATTTGAAAAAAAATTCTGTAGATATAAGTGTAGTCAAACCTTATTAGAGGACTTGGCTGTCATGAAAGGCGAGAGTTGCGACCTACGCGGTCTGTAGTATGCTAAACTAAGGGTGACGTTTCTTTTTCATGAACTTCTCTGCCCTTCTAAAAAAATTCATGTTGAAATTTTTTTCTTTCCACAATTCTGGTAGAGCTGTCTTCTTTCATTCCTACAAACCTGTGACCAAATCCAAATAATGGTTCTGCTCACAGTGAATTCCTTCTTCGAATCGTTGATCCAAATAATTCAAACGTAATGCTTCATACCACTTTTGGATCGAGTACCATGCAATCATGCAGTGTCTTCAAAAAGACAAGTCAATAGTTTCGATTACCATAATTTCACGCGTATGAGGCGCACTTTTTCGAATTTTCAAGCGAGCCGCTCAGCCGGTTCACTCATACCGGAAAGAATTCTTACATTGCACGATTCTCTCAAGCAATATGCAGTACGTTATAGGGTCCTTTGGTTGTAAAGTCCTTTGGCGTGACTGAGCTGGTCGATCGACTCTGAAAAAAAATCCTCGCGCTTTATACGCGTGAGATTAGGGTACATATGGCAGTAAATACCACTGTATGTTACATTTCTCATATTTACCTAAATTACGGTTATGTGTGTTTGCTGTAAATTACCTGGTCCAGTTGCCCGAAAGGAAGAATTGTTTTAGCGTTTTATATGTGCTAATCAGGTTTCTAAGAGAGAAATGTAGGCTGTCCAGATATGCAGCAGATACGTTATTTCGTCAACCTACACTTTCGCAGCAGATTGCGGGTAAATGTACTGTCTTAGACGGATTTTCACTGCAAAAGCTTTTGAAGCAAAATTTGCAAAGCTACCATCACACTCTATGTCATGAAACAAATCCTGCTCCATGTCTATGGTACTCCCTCTCCAGTTGACATCTAAGCGTTCTCATAAGGGTTCAGAAACGCGAATACTTATAGAGAATATGCATTGAGACGTTAGTGTTCTCCGCCATTGTAACGCACTTCTCCTTTTGAAGTATTTGGAAAAAATAAACGCAAAAGATTTCCACAAGCTAATATAATAAGTTTTCGTAATTATGCAGATCCTTGGGAGACCCCGCGTTTTCGCATCCGGCTTGTGATACAAAAGAGCTTAATTTTTTTTTGCTTTGAATAGCTACACTTTTAAGCCCAAAGTATTAGGTTGCCCGGAAGTTAATGCCCGTTTTGAATTTCAAACGCAGTAAGTCATGCACTTCTCATTTCTAAATAGGTTGCAAAATACCGTTCGATAGAGCAAACCAACTCTACAAGATGACAGTCTTGCTTTTGCAACAGTCCTCATCCACCTCGAGTTGAGAAGACTCAGCAGCCCTCGAAAAAAAATCGTAACTCAGTCCATAAAAATCCTACAAAAATTCTTACTTGCTCAGTGAAAACTATCTACATAAAACATCTATATACGCCTTTGCCGTTTTTCCTCTGTTAAGAGTCAAGAAAACGGAACTTTTTGTGCATTTGCCAAAATGGTGTTGTGCAGTTCCCACATAGGTAGTTCTATATTATAGTAATGTAGAAGTACAAATGTAAATTCTCAGCTCTTTACAAGCCTTAGTTCTCGAGAAATTTGATTTTTAGCTTGGGCCACCTAACTAGGGAAAGCTATATTCGGTAATTCTCGAGAACTAAAGCTTGTAGAGAGCTGAAAATTTAAATCTGTACTTCTACAGGTTTATAGTATACAACTACCTCTGTGGGAACTGCACAAACCACTTTGGCAAATGCATGAAAATTTCCGTTTTTCTTTCATGCCAAGTTAAGAAAGTTGACTATGTCGCGCAAAGCTTTTTTGTCCAATTTGTTGGAGAAAACAATTTTGTACCCCAAAAGCCTATGTTACATACTGCAGCATTTCACATGGAACCGACTACGTACTGCCGTATATATTAGCTCTGCAAGGTATTTTATTAAAGTCAAATTTGCAGAAGATTTCTGTAGTGGAAATACCGACAGCTTGACATAACGATTTTATGCCTATCACACTACTTTACGTATAAATCCATCATTGCTGAAAGTGTCACCACTTACGAGTGAGCGAATGAAAACGTCCTAATACCTCGACCTGCAATAGAATAAGCAGCAATTTCTATAAACCCCACATCCAAGCCAGTGAATTGGAGGAAGAATGCATTTTTGGGCATCAAGTTTGAAAAGAAGAGTGAGTAATTTGGTCTGCTGTACAACGGAAAGTGGGATGAAAAACTAAATAAGAAGATAGACGTAAAAAGATTATTATAGAAAGATCCGAAAAAGTAAAGTGCTCTGTGCCATTTTGAGGTTACCCGAGTCCAAAATTCGTTGCATTATCCGTTGCACTATTTCTGTGCAATTTAGTAAAGTCTTCTTTGCTACTTCAGTAACTTGCGCAAAAGTTCGTGATAGTCAACGATTTTCAACACGTGAAATAGAAGTAAGAGAGCATTGT